CCCACACCCACACCCCACACCCACACACACCCTATTCTTTTAATACCATCGATAAGAATGAGAGTTATTGTCTATTTGTTTCTTTTATCCACGTGGACTTCCAGTGCCTTTCATTCTTCTATGTCTTCCGAACAATGAACAAGCATAAAAAAGATTTATATTCTTTTCTATTGAGAGCAGTCTAATTCAACAAAACAACAGAAACTAAATGAATTGATTGAATTTCTATTTCAGGTCTTGCTCAATTTAGTTTGAGTCAAAAAGCAAATCCTCAAGATTATAATGGACCTTGGGAAGAATGAGTTAAATGTCCTTACGCAAATCCTCGTTAATAACTCTTTTCTTCTGTTATGTGTTGTCACTTATTTTCTTTTTTGTTTTTCCGTACTTTAGCTTTTCCTGATGGTACTACCGTGTATAAAGGCTCAGTTCCACCTGCTATGACTACTGATGCTGTGAATTATCTTCGTGATGGAAACGTTAAAATGTTTCAAGTCAGCGAGACCAAAACATATCCTAATTTAGCTAATCTCTATTTTGGAATGAGAAAAGAATTTCACACTTGGCATTATTCTGGCGGTAAACTCTTAACTGGTTGCTGGACAGGTGTCACTGTTTATCAATATATCAATCATCCATAAGTCAACAGTCAAGAATCAAGAAGGTTCCTCAAAGTTGATCTGAAGTTTCCGCTGTAATAGACTTATTAATATAGATAAGTGCATATATTTTAAGTTTATTTTATTTCATTATGACCAAATAGAGAAAAGGAAGTGTTGTTGTTAGAAGAAAAGATCAAAAGGACTCTGAATGTAATGTTTCGATCAAAGATCATAAACGCATACAATAGCAGAAACTCTTAAAAAGAATAGTGTACACCCCGTAAATTCGCTGCGAACTAACAAATTTTTGGTGCGAATTTACATGTTTACGAATCCAGCTACTTCTTGTCACTCTCACCGCCATTGTTGACGCGTTCTTCACTTATCTGTTTGATAGTCGATTCTTGAGAGATGGCTCTAGACTGCTTTTCGTAGTTCATAGACGACATACAGTCACTTTCAAAATTGCCAACAGGTCACATCTATCGTACAGTTCTGCCCTACTCATGTCGATTTCTCTTCAATCATGGACACCTACCTATGCCAATTCACATAGACAATGTGGGAAAATCTTCCACTGATTGAGAATCTCGAGCTAGCGAGATCTAGCAAAGTAGATCTTGGATCTAAAAAGAGGGTGTGGATGTGTAGAGTATGGGTGTAGGTGTGGTTATGGGGTGTGGGTGCGGGTCTGGGTGTGTGGGTAAGAAGATCCTACACCCACACCTCAGACTCACATCTACATCCACACCTACACACACACGCATAAACACCCACACCCGTGCTTTGTCAGCAAACAACTCTATGCATCTGTTAACACATATGAGCGATTGAAACTCAACTATAATTCTAGTATAGCGTGGAATTTTAAGTTGATTTCTTGTTTCGTTCAACCTGAACACCTCATTTCACTTTCTCTAGTGACAGCATGGAAAGTGATCGGATGACCTCATTTATCTTTCTTTTTGGTATTCGTCGATTGGCTCACATTCGTTCATTGACTCTTGAATAAATTCATAACATGAATAGAGCACTTTTTACAGAACATAACTGCCGATTATCTCCCCATGTTGTCTTCTTTTATAAAAAAACGCCGCTATAGCTTTAAACCTGTATAAAACGACTTTATTGAGTATAATAATGACGCTATACATCGCAATATTAAATAGTGTTTCATGCAGCAAAATAACGACAACTAGTAGAAAATGATGTGATGATCTCGCTACGCTTTTATGTTAAACAGCGCACTCTCTGTGATAGACATTACAATGAAATTTCCTTTAATATGATTGACCAGAAGATGGTATGGGCGTCCTGATCTATTTATCTACACCCACACTTACACCCACATCCACACCCATACTCACACCCATAATCACCCACACCCACATACTCATCCACACCCATACCCTTTCTCATACTGTTCTCTTGCTCATGAAGTAATCACGAATAATCATGTAATCTGAATTTGCACGCTTGGGCAATGGCTTGAATTTTGACAAAATTGTACGAGTTCAGTTCCGTCATGCAACGCAGACTCTCAAAAACAATTACTTTTCAATGAATAACGAGATGAGGGGAAAGAATAATATGAACATTGTGACGAACTGAGAGAGTACACGCCTATGCCCGTGTATATTGTGTCATCTGCACATCTGTTGTCATGCCCTTCCTTCATTTACATTGCCATATGTAGCAGAAAGAACGATCACGCCTGAACGGACAGCAAGAAAGAGGAAACGGTCACGCAATAGAACAATGAGAGATAGCCACAAGGTCAGCGCGGGAACACATGAATATAGCGAAGCGGATAGTATATATAAAGTGAAGCGTAACGGTCAATAACCGTTACAAACATGACTATTTTTGTGACCATTACAATTTTCAACGAAAAGTTAAATAAATGCGGAAACTTCGGATTTAAATCCGAGAGTTATGTGTACTTCAAAAAGTGAATCAGACGAATTAGCCATCCTAGAATGTGTAAACACCAAAATTATACTGGGGAACCTACCCTATAAACTGTTGATTTCTATTGGGTATTGCCAAACCAATAGGACTTGGGACTGAATACAGCTCAAATTTGAACTCTTCCCCTTGATTTACCCTAAGAAAGTCGTTTTTCCTGTAACTTGATTTCTATTAGTTACTGCTCAATCAATAGTATTTCGATGGAAGCGGAATGCAGATTCGAATTCTCCATCTCAGAAAACCTCGAAGTATCATCTCTGTGATCGGAAGATAGAGCTCTATTTGTGGATCAATTAGATCGTGGACAAAAATATTAGCTAGTTCTCTGTAATTATCTTTGTCATAGGTGAGTCAACCTTCGTGTTTCTTTATGTTTCATATACCATTTTGTAGCTCTTGAAATGCTATATTGAATGGTATATAATAGTTGGGGTTTTAGCTGACTATGATAGGAAAAGTCTTTTACGAAAGTGGCGATGAGTCGATTTTTCCATAGGCAGCTATAGGGAAAAATGAGTATTTTTGTAATAACTCAGGAACGGCTTGGCCGATCCTTCTCATCTTCGAACTCGACCGAGATATTGTAAAGACTGAACTGTATAGAAAATTTCATCATGATCGGACTCTCCTTTCGAAAGTTATCGTGTAAACGGCCGGCCGGACATACTGACCGATTCTAGAGTGTACTCACTTTTTGAGTACACAAAAATTATAGTTCACATTCCCTATAATTGCAGCGTGACAGAGAAAGAAATTGAAAAAATTGATCAATTTCAGTAGTTGTTACGGGCACTGCCCTCACAGTATGTTTTCTTTCTCCTCTCTCTATTTCTCCGGACGTGATATCTTTGATCATATATCATCATCTCTTTCTTTTCGTTAAAACCCTTGATGCATGTGATCATATATATATGCGCGTTTTTCCTTTTCTTTTCGGTTCGTCATGTAGCTTAGTTGTTATACGTGTGTGTGTGTAAGTGTGACGGGTGAAGATGTACGTGTGTGAGGACATTTCTTTGATTTAGTAAAAATAAATGGAAGAAGATTTATAACATCTTATCCCCCTAATAATAGTTAAATGAGAAAGGTTCTAAATAAAGTGATGAGATTCAGAATAAATAATAAGACAAAAATATAAACAATCTTCTTAAGATCAACCTTGAAAACAAAATTTTTATCTTCAGTGCCGCGCAAATGAAAATGAAAGCAGTGTTGTCATCATTGTCGTTCTTTTCTCTTCTCATGCGAGTGGAACGGTTTGCTTGTTCGTTCCGACAGTCGAGGAAACATATATTACCGTTCTGTGCATATGCACACAGAATCAATTTTTTCTTTTTACTAAATTGAACAATCAATGCTTATATATCTATAGTATAGACGATCTCATCGTGTTGCCTTTCGATCTTTTACCTTTCTGGGTTTTGCCACGCTACCTTTTTGAAGCGAAAAATCAGGAATTAGTGTATTCCTAGACCAATGTTATTGAATTTTCTACCTGAAGAACAATAAATCCAACAGTTCTCTTTTTTCCTTGCAAAATCGACATAGCTGTCATGGTTTACGACGGAAAGAATGTTTGGTGACGCTAGAAAAATTTTTGTAAGATATCTGTCACAGTGTGTGACAAGCTCAAAAGAATACTAACATGCCTATCACGATCGGTGGAGTGAACTGTAACGAGATAATTTTTCTCACTATTTCTGTCAACACGCATTAACAATTGTATTCCACAAAAATAACATCTGTAATATAAGAAAGATAATTTCGTAAAGCCTAATGGGTTCAGAAAAGTTGTTACCCGATGCCAAATAAACAAGAAAAAGATCTCGAGAAAAAATTCACTAATGTGAGAGTGACCATAAATGGAAAAATATCGCGGTATTCTCTTCACACGTGCACATCTTGGGTGAGCAAACGAGGCGAGGCAATCTATTTTACCTTCATCCACTGGTTCCATATCTCTCCAATTACGTCTTCCAGTGATGACATCGGGTAGCAAAGCTGAGCTATATAGTGGGAAGCAAACAAGAAAGAGAACGTGTACGCTTCACTAATTTTTCCATCACTATTTTACAGAGAGTTGGATTGTTAGTAAATGCAAGTTGCAGTTCTTTTTGAAGCGACAATGTCTTGCACATTTTTAGAAGAGCGTACTTTCTTCAAGGAGCATCTTGAAAGACATGTTTTAATGTCTCTTTTTTCCTCATTTTATAAAATTATGCGAAGGTAGTATTGTTCTGTTCTTTTTTCATTAGAAACAACCACTAAAACAACAATGTACAACTTCTTCGAAAATACGACATCGACAGTTCTGTACTCAGACACGCTTGTTGAAATTTTCTGAGGATTCTAAAGTAGTCAAAAATCGACAATTTTCGCTTCACGAAAATTTTCTCCCATACCTCCCGATAGAAAATTTTTCCTTGAAGGTGCTCTAGAACCTTTAGCCTATTTTAGTACGTCCCTCAGGCTCACAAAAAGCAGAGAAAAACGTCTTTATAGGGGTTTAAAATATGTAATTTTTAATGTACACTAAGACTTTTCTAAAGCGAGCGCTGGGGAGACAATTCAAAAGTGCCCACAATACAGGATGTCCCAAAAGTCACTTTACATCAGAGAAACTCTAATATCTTCGCCACATTTTGACTAACTGAGGTGATATTTTATGGAACTCACGTATATTTTCGAAGAAAATAGTGAATGTAAGTTTTAAGTTCAAAGTTTCCCGGCTCCCACCCCCTCCCCCCTCCTCCATCCCTTACAGACAGGCCCCCATTACAGACCATAGCAACGGAAGAGAACATTACAGACATACCCCCCATTACAGACCACAGCAACGTAGGCCCCCATTACAGACCTTAGCGACCAGGTTTAAAATAATGGATATACATA